GGGACCTTAGGGACACAGATGAGCCTGGGGATTCTGGGGATGCTGGTGATGCTGAGGATTCTGGTGACACTGGGGACCTTGGGGATGCTGGGAACCCTTGAGATACTGGAAACCTTGGAGATGCTGGTGACCCCAAAGACCCTGGTGACCCCAAGGATTCATCCAGTGACACTGGTGAGGCTGGTGATCCCAGGGACACTGGTGACCTTGGGGATGCTGGAGACCCATGGGCTGATGGTGATGCTGGGGCCACTGGTGATGCTGGAGACCCCAGGGAACCCTGAGAGGACCCTGAGGACCCCCTGTGGGTTGGTAGAGTCTGGCCAAGTGCTGGGAGAGCAAAGGGGACCAGGGTCACCAACCTTTCCCCAAAGATCCCCATCTGCCAGAGCCTGGGGACCCACTGGGGAGACACAGGGATGCATGGACACAGGGGACAGATGGACCCACAGGGACAGATGGACCCACAGGGACAGACTGAGGACAACCATGGGGACACACTGGGAACACCCAGACCCATGGAAACAGACTGTGACAGGTGGACTAACAGGGACAGACTAGGGACATCCAGACCCAGGCAACAGCGGAACGCACAGGGAAGCACCAGGAGGTTTGGGGACACGTGGGGACACATGGGCCCAGGGGGACACATGGACCCACAGGGGCAGATGGGGACACACAGGCCCACAGGGACAGATGAGCCCATGGGGACACACGGACACATGGGGACAGACAGAGACTGTGGACACTGTCCCTGTCCCTCTCCCTGTGGGCATGACATCCCCACCTCTGTCCCCATCCCTCTGCCACCCCCACACTTGTGCCCATCCTGTCCCTGTCCCCATGGCCATGCTGTCCCCATGTTTGCATCACCCCTATCCCCATGCCTGTCACTGTGCTGTTCCCATCACTGTCCCCATGCCATCCCTGTCCCCATGCTGTCCCCATTCCTGTCCCCCACACCCAGGACCCATTACTGTCCCCAACCCCCTCCACATGCCATCTCCACACCTGGCCCCATGCCTGTGCCTACTGCCATCCTCCTGTTGTCCCCACCCCTGCCCTTTGCCAGTGCCGCCTCTGTCCCCATTCACATGCCTGTTCCTTCCCCATCCCTGTCCCCATGCTCATGCCCTCCCCAGCCCTGTTCCCATCCCTGTCCCCACCCATCCCCACACCCATTGCCATTCCCACATTGTCCCCACGCTGAATCCATCCCTGTGCTGTCCCCATTCCATGTTGTCCCCTTGCCCTGCCCGTCCCCTGGTGCCCCCACGCCTGCGGTGACACGTACGGGTGCGGATGCGCAGGGTTCCCGGGGCCCCGAGCTGCTGCTCCCGTTGGGCCTGGATGAAGAGCTCGAAAGCATGGCCAGGTGCCAGCCCTGTCACCTCGAAGGTGACAGCAGAGCCAGGCAGCTCATGGGTGGTCATCGCCGCTGGCTCATCCTGGGGTAAAGGGACATGGCCAAGGACACGCTGGGGACACCAGGGTGGGACCTGGCCCTGAGCCAGGCGTGTGGCCACGGCCAAATGCTGCTGCCAGGGCTGGGGGACATACTGGGGACAGCCAAGGAGGGACACATTTGGGAGAATGTGGTGAGGCCACCTTCTCATCAGGCAGGTGGCTGCAGCCA